AGGTATACCTTTTTAAACATTAAAATAACCTTTCCAAACCTATTTATTAAATTAATATAAGTAAATTTTAAAACAATTTTATTTAGTGACGTTAATGGAATTAATTATTTTTATTATTATTTTTTAAAAATATACGTTTTTAATAAAAAGTATAACAAAATAAAAACAATTTTTCAAAAAGAAATATAAAAATATTTTATTATTTTTAATAATAATAAATATATTGGATATGTTATTAAGAAATGTTTTCTTTTATTAAATTATTTTATAAATATCTTTATAAATTTACGTAAATATAGTTTTAAAATTATTTAAAATATTAAATACAACTTTTTTTTTAAAAGATTTTATATAAATAAAATTAATATTATATTTAATTTATTTATATAAATATTTAATATTAATATATATTAAATTTATATATTTTAGCTTATATTTGAATATCTAAACAAAACATTACTTAATAGTTAAAAATTAGTAGTATAATTTACTTACAAATTTAATTTAAACTTTATTAAAATATTTTAAGGCTATTATTTCAATATTTTAAACGTTAATAAAATATTTAATAATAAAGATTTAATAATCTATTAATTTTTCTAATAAATATTTTTAAATATTATAATTAAAATATTTAACGTTATTAATTTAGAAATTTAAGTTAATTTGGATATTAATTTATTTAATTATACCAAAAAGAATAAAGATATAAATAGAAAAAAGGATAAAAAGAAAAAAAATAAAAAAAGGAAAGTAATAATTTATAATAAAAACTTATGCGTAAAAACCATAAGTATATTTAATAGAATATGTTATAAATAAGGATTTAATAATATTGAAATTAGTAACTTTATATAAAAAAAATTTAAAAATAAAGAAAAATTAATAACCTTTAAAAATAAAATAAAGGAATAAACTAAATTTCTAATAATATTTAATAATATTCCACTGTTTAACTTACCCGAAAAATTAATAAAAAGACTTTAAATTTTTAAATCCAAATTAAAGGATAATATATTTAATTAATAATCTTCAATAGTTATAAATTTAATAGAAATTAAAAGAAATATTTTCAAATATTTAAAAATATTAATATTTATTTTTATTAGTTTAATTATATTAATTATTAACCATAATTATATTATATTAAAACGTTACTTAAAAATAAATATTTTAAAATCATAATGTAATATTATAAATTAAATTAATAAAACTTTTACTATAATAGCCTATTATAATATTATAATTATTAAAATATCTACCGTAAAAGTTAATATAATTTTTAATATAAACTTCTTTACCTTAGATTAAGTTATACCTAATACCGCCCAATTTTCAATAGAACATAACTCAATTAATTTACCAACTAATGTCCCTATTAATAATAATATTAAAACCTGTTTAATAAAACGTTGTTTTAATAAGACCTACATAAATATGCCTAAGATTCATACTATTAAAAATACCTATAATAAGGTTAATAACCGCCATTTACATATATTTCAACGCCTTACTTATTATTATAATCAAGATTAATTAAATTATTTTTTAAGATTATTTAATAACGTAATAAAATAAAATATTAGTGTTGCATTTACTTTTTAAAATAATAATATTATATTGAATAAAAGTATAAATTTTACAAAATAATTAAATTCTTTTATATTTAAATATTAAAAGAAATACCATTAATTAATATAATAATTTATCATATTAATTATCTTATATAAAATATAAATATATTAAATAAAAAATTATAAAAAAATAATAATTTATTTTAATTTAAAAGGTTATGGTATTATATTTCTTAAATATTAAAATAAAATATATTTGTTTTAATTATATTTGGTAGGAAATATATCTTATATATTAATTTATTATAAATTAAATTATTAAAGGTTTAAATATATAAGTATTTTAATATCTTTTAATTTAAAACTATTAAATATTATAATTATTTTTTATTATTATTATTATTAAAATAGTTGATATAAAATATATATAAAGATTTAATTATATATTTTATACTATTCTTTTATAAATATAATTACAATATTACATAATATAGATTATATAATAAATAAATTAATAAATATTTAAATATATTATTAAAATTATATATTTTAATCTTTAAAGATTTAAATATATATTTAATAAAAAATATTTATTTTTATTATGTATATAAGTAAATAAACCTTATTTGTTTAAGGTTTTTTTTTTATTTTTTTTTTAATAATATAACAATAATAATACTAAGAATAATATTAATTAAACGTTTAATAAAATTATTTATTAAATAATATAAAATATAAATCACGCTAATAATTTTTAAATATTAACCTTATAATATAATATTAATATAATAATAAATTATAAAATTTTAAACGTTTTTAATATAAAGTTAAAAGATTATAACGTAAATTTTAAATATAATTAATAAATAATAATTTAAATATTATATTTTATTATAGATTAGTTAAAAGAAAAAATTACTAATTATTTAAGTTATATACCTTAAAAAATTTATAATATTTATGCCAACTATTTAGGAATAAAAGTTATTTATAATATAATACTTATAAATGTAAATCTTATATTTTAATATATTATTTATATAGTTAAAACCAAAGTAATTTCAAAAATCTAAAAATAACTTAAATTTTTAATAATAATTTTTAAGAAATTACAGTTTTTTTTTAATAAAATATAGGATTGGTTTAATGAATTTATTATTTAAACAATGTAAAAAAATGATTAAAAGATATTTAAAAAGGTGGGTAAGCTTATATTATTACGTAAGATATATAATAATTATATTGTATATGTTTATAAATTCTTAAATAAATGGTTAAATATTAATTAGTAGGTTATAAATATCTTTTTTATAAACTTTATTTTTATTTATATAAATAAAGTAAATAAGTGTTAGATTTAATAACATAATTATAATAATATTAATAAATAAAATATATTTATAAAGAAAAACTATAGTTAAATATTATAATATTCTTTTATTAATAAAAGGCAAGGTTTTTATATTTTTTAACTAAGTAAAGGTAAGGTTATTTCACCATAAATTTTTGTTAAATATGTTATATATTTAATTGACCAATAATTTTAAAATAATCTTTTAATTATTATTCTAATGGATAAAACATTAAATATTATTAATTATATTATATATAAATAATTTGATAAAGTAATTAAATTAAGTTATTAAAAATATAAACTACTTTTAATAAATTTAAATATAAATTTAATAATTATATTATAAAATTAAATAAATAATTAAATATATAATAAAAATTAAATAAATAATAATAATAAGTTAAATAATTATTATATTTATAATAAATTAAAAATATATTAATAAATAATTCTAAAAGAATTTTTTAATAATATTATTAAAAATATATTTAATTTATTATATAAAATAATTAATAAAAACAAAAATATAATAAATATTTAATTAAAATATTTAATTATTAAATAATTAATAATTATTATAAATATAATAATTATTAAAAATATAATTATATTTAAAAATATAATAATTAATAGTTTTAAATAAATTATATAACGGTTATATTTTATTAATAATTATTATAAATATAATATTTATTAATAATATAATTATATTTAAAAATATAATAGTTAATAATTTTAAATAAATTATATAATAATTATATTTTATTAATAATTATTATAAATATAATAATTATTAATAATATAATTATATTTAAAAATATAATGGTTAATAATTTTAAATAAGTTATTTAATAATTATAATAATATAATGCAAATTTTTATAATAATAATAAAAAATTATGTAATAATATTTTTTTACGCAATAATAAATAGTTTAAATAAATAGGATAATAATTTAATCTTTATAATAATATTTTTAATAATAATAAATTCTTTAAGAATAATACGCGTAATAGGGGTTAATAAAAACTACGTTTTAAAGGGTAGGATAATGGTTTAACACGTATATAATGGTTCCACCCCACCATAATTTCCCGCTATGGTAGGTATGTATAATACAGTGCCATGTTTGAGGCTCTAAATATTGGTACAAGGCTGTACTTTATATACATATGTACCTAGTTAGATGAAGGATTAATACATAAGTATCTCGCTAAAAAAAATGGGCCTTGAATAGGTGGATATTAGCTAATAAGTACCTAACGTATAATTTATGTAGCAATTCGATAAAAAGAAAGGGGACAGATCTCTTATGGATACATAGGTAGATATATAATATTTTATAACATACATACATAAATCTGGCTACAATCTCGATCTTACCCGGGTGCCTAAGCAGCCAAGGTAAGGTACTGTGTCTGCAAGTATCTGCCACGTTACCATAATATGTACATACCTAAATATTTGAGGTCCCTTAGGTACGGTTTATATATACACTACATATATACTGTCATAGCGCTGTGACCAGTTATAAGGCTAGCAAGGATGTCCCGCATTAGGCGGGGCTGGGGCTCTAAAACAGAGTTGGGACAATCTGACAATCTGGCTTCTGCGCAAGAGAGAGGCGAAGAAGGTTCCAGTGACTACCTCTAAAGTATCCAGGTATCTTTCCAGCAGAAAATAGCTAGGAAGATACTTCTAAATGTATCTAGATGTATCTAAATGGGGTCATGCAACAAAAAGAGCATCTGCGTGACCCACACTTTATTGCAATGTGTTCTCTTGCAAGCTGGCAACATCAACTTAAATCATTTTCTTCTACCCATATAAGAATTAGAATTTCTCAGACACACCATTGTGCGTCGACAAATTCTTCTTCTCTTATTCTACTCATACTTCACTAGTTTTCTAGTGTCATACCAACCGAGCAGGAGAGGTTGAAAGGCACTCCAGCTTTCAGTGTTGAATATTTAACTCTCTTTTTTCCTTTTTCTGTATCCTAATTTTTATTTCTATTTCTATTTCTACGCCGCTTTGTTGCTAATTCTATCTGCGACAAACACACTCCCACCATGGCTCGCTCTCAGAGCTACTGGACTATTGCCTTTGGCATGATAGCCTGGAGCCTTCTTCTCTTCAGCCCTCTGGCATTTGTCGGAACTGCGAGAGCAGACGACGTCGCTGACTATGGCACTGTTATCGGTATTGTAAGTTTTTTTTTGTTTTTTTTTGTTTTGTTCTTTTTTTTCTTTTTTTCTACCCCTCCTAGTCTTACAATTTCATTCTATTATTTCTTACTAACAACATTTTCCTATAGGATTTGGGAACTACATACTCTTGCGTCGGTGTGATGCAACAGGGCAAGGTTGAAATTCTCGTCAACGACCAAGGAAACCGAATTACCCCCTCATACGTTGCCTTCACCGAAGAAGAGCGATTGGTAGGAGATGCTGCCAAACAACAGGCAGCTTCCAACCCCAGGAATACTGTATACGATGTTAAGTAAGTTGAATTCTATTGTGATTTAAAATACCATGTTAACTAACCGCCACTCTTACTCTAGACGATTCATTGGTCGAAAGTGGGCCGAGAAAGAAGTCCAAAATGATATCAAGCATTTCCCTTACAAGGTAATCGAACAGGATGGCAAACCCGTTGTCCAAGTCGATTTCCAGGGCGCCAAGAAGAAGTTTACCCCCGAAGAAATATCTGCCGTCATTCTAGGCAAGATGAAGGAGGTTGCCGAGTCCTACTTGGGCAAGAAGGTTACCCACGCCGTCGTTACTGTCCCCGCCTACTTCAATGACAACCAGAGACAAGCTACCAAGGACGCCGGTATCATCGCAGGTCTTAACGTTCTCCGAATTGTTAACGAGCCTACTGCTGCTGCTATCGCCTATGGTCTTGACAAGACTGGTGGCGAACGTCACATCATTGTCTACGATCTTGGTGGTGGTACTTTCGATGTCTCCCTTCTGTCCATCGAAGATGGTGTGTTCGAGGTCTTGGCTACCGCTGGTGACACCCACTTGGGTGGTGAGGATTTCGACCAGAGGATCATCAACCACTGGGCCAAGAACTACAACAAGAAGAATTCGGTCGACATCACCAAGGATCCTAAGGCCATGGGTAAGCTCAAGCGCGAAGCCGAAAAGGCCAAGCGAACTCTATCTTCCCAAATGTCCACCCGTATCGAAATCGAAGCCTTTTTCGATGGCAAGGATTTCTCTGAGACCCTTACCCGAGCCAAGTTCGAGGAGCTCAACATCGACCTCTTTAAGCGAACTCTTAAGCCCGTTAAGCAGGTTCTGGATGACGCCAAGATCAAGAAGGACGAGATCGATGACATCGTTCTTGTTGGTGGTTCCACTCGTATCCCTAAGGTCCAGGCTCTTCTTGAGGAGTTCTTTAGCGGCAGGAAGGCTAGCAAGGGTATCAACCCTGATGAGGCTGTTGCTTTCGGCGCAGCTGTTCAAGCCGGTGTTTTGTCCGGTGATGAGGGTGCTACCAATGTCGTCCTTATGGATGTGAACCCATTGACTCTCGGTATCGAGACCACTGGTGGTGTCATGACTAAGCTTATCCCCCGTAACACCCCTATCCCAACTCGTAAGAGCCAGATTTTCTCGACCGCTGCCGATAACCAGCCCGTCGTCTTGATCCAGGTCTTCGAAGGTGAACGATCCATGACCAAGGACAACAACCTGCTCGGCAAATTCGAGCTTACCAATATCCCTCCGGCTCCCCGCGGTGTTCCTCAGATCGAAGTCTCCTTCGAGCTAGACGCCAACGGTATCCTAAAGGTGTCAGCTCATGACAAGGGAACCGGGAACACTGAGTCCGTTACCATCACCAACGATAAGGGCCGACTCAGCCAAGAAGAAATCGAGCGCATGGTCGCTGAGGCTGAGAAATTCGCCGAGGAGGACAAAGCTACCCGTGAGCGTATCGAGGCTAGAAACGGTCTAGAGAACTACGCCTTCAACCTGAAGAACCAGGTCAACGATGAAGATGGCCTCGGTGGTAAGATTGATGAGGAAGACAAGGAGACTGTAAGTTAAACCCTTTTGGTCCCAGATACACCGCCCATTTATTAACCTGTAAATAGATCCTCGACGCCGTTAAGGAGACGACTGACTGGCTCGACGAGAACGCCGCTACGGCGAGCGCCGAGGACTTCGAGGAGCAGAAGGAGAAGCTCTCGAACGTTGCCTACCCGATCACATCTAAGATTTACAGCAACGCGGGAGGTGCCGCGGATGACGATGAGCCGTCACCACACGACGAGTTGTAATATGTTATTGATAGATAGATCTGTTTTCCATTAGCATACCCGGGAGCACGAATAAAGAAAGTTAAATGAAATTCTTCTGACACCATAATTCTATGATGTTGAGAATTAACGAGCACGATGAGGATGAAGCATATGTGTGTGGCTGGCTTTTTAGTGAGTTATGTGATTGCGATTTTTGATAGTCTAAATGATAAGTTTTTTGCATTGACTACCTTACTAAGATCGAGTCTAATTATTCTCCTATCCATAGGTATGTAGCAATATGTGATTTATACCTACTACATATGAACTCTATATTAAGACCGGAGGAAGGCGGAAATAACTAGATGGGGGGGGATTCAGCTTCGTTTGATCGTCGTTCTATTATCTTCCCATCACAAGTTGAACTAACAGGCGACTGAATAAACCAATAGGTACCTAATCTAATCTAACATATAAAGGCTGAGGTTTTAATGATGGTGTAATAGGGGAAAGAAATGGTTTAACTGGTATAGGTGGCGGGGTATTTTTAAGTAGATATAACTGACAGCATTGTTTGAATGATTCTGATGTCCTTACCTTTTAAAGATATATTTACTAGTGACAATACAGTTAAATCATCAACGGCGAGAATAAGCTATTCTATTCTATTCCGTTGTCCTCTACTCGTTAACTATCTAGAATAAAACAACGGTCTAGTTTTCAGTCTGAAAAGGGGGTATCCAACATGACGCTCAACTGACCGGCCCTAATCACTCAGCCTTAGCCACGTCCATGGTATTATCCTCAGCTTCTACCGGTAGTGATTCGATGCTTTCCCCTTTCTTCAAGCCAAGTTGTCTTGTATCCCAGCCCTTGCTCTCGAGGTACTCCCTAAACTTCGTGTCTTCTTTGGTAATGGTGTCCTGGTCAATGTTAGGGAGCAAGAGTGCAAGCGCAGCTGCAAAGATACACAAGCTAGAGCTGACGTAGAATTTGTACTGTGCCGATTTGGTTTTGTCGCCGTCTGGTGAGTTTATATACTTAAACACATATGTACCTACGAAAGCCCCGATCTTTCCAAGGGCAGCAGCAATACCGTAATATTGCCCTCTCACACCCGTGGCGCAGGTTTTAGCAGCTAGTAGACCAATATTGTTTCCTGGTCCTAGCTCGCCAAAAGACAAGAAGATGCCATATACTACTGCAAAGGCACCAACTACAGAAGGGTGGGATAGCCTGCTGTAGCAACCAGCCATAATAAATCCCACAATGGCCTGTAGAACCTGGCCTAAAATAAGGGTGTAGCGAGGGCCTAGACGGTCGCTAATTGGTGCTCCGAGCATAGTTCCCGGAATGTAGAACAAATTGATAACCGTGTTCCATCCGAAAATAGTGGTTAGGACACCAGTATCTCCATATATATTAGAGAGAATGGCGCTCGAATAAATCGAGAATGAGTAGGCAGAGAACTAACGAGGTTAGGAGGAGATACCCAAATTAGCTTAGGAGTGGAGGGGTAAATATAACTTACATCGTATATGAACCAGATCAAACTAACGATGAGCAACCGAAACCCGTAATATCTTATTACTAGAAGGTACGGAGTTTTGACACTGGAATATGTACAGTTAGCAAACTTCTACTTGCGTACTCTGCTGGTGTCGCTTCGTGTTGTAGGTTATGTTCCATATACTAATTGCGCGGGGCAACTGGAATAGATCTTTTGGGTTGGAAGTAAATGGTGAAGATGACAAGGGCAGACTTACTGCTTCATTGAGTTCCTTGAGAATTCCTCGGGTTCTTTAAGTCTAAGACGTAGGGCGAAGAGAACCAATGGGAAAGCTACGCCGATTCCCAAGCTTGTCCGCCATATTGTGCTGTAGTAAATGTTGTGGGCTGCAGCGGCAACGACGTATGGCACAAATGCCCCGAAGACGAAACCCCAGTCTATCATCGAGTTTGTGAACAAGATAAACCAGGTATTCCGAGTGCCGCCCTTCAGCTCGCCACTAGATTCGGCGCAACTTACGCTGCCGGCTGGATACTCGCCTACATGTATATTTTAGTCTAGCACCAGTTACTTGATTTTTGGTCGTATTCTTACCTCCAATACCAATACCAACAAAGAACCGCCATGCGGTTAAAATATTGAACATACCCACGGGATCGCCACGGTAGTAAGAACCAGCAGCGAGAGCCGTAAATATAATCAAGATGATGGTCGATATAAGGAGAGAGTCTTTGCGCGACCATTTGTCGGACAGGTACCCAAAGAATAATTGACCGACCACCTAGAGATATAAGCATAAATCTAGACCAAAGATCTTGGCAGGACTCGTACCGTTCCCGCGAACGCGATAGCCGGTACGACGCTAGCGGCATTGGAGTTACTGTAGACGTCTCCGTATTCACGTTCTAGCACCGTGTTTACGGAGCCGATGACCTACGTAGTGCAAGGTAAGCCGATGGCCTATGCTTAGAGAATAAAAAGCGAGGAAGACTAAGAGACGTAGTGATGTATACATTATTGACGTAGCCGTCGGAAAAGAGACCAGCACCGCAAGCAAGGACGGGCCAGATAACTTGCCAGAAGGGTTTCTGGTCGATAGGTGGTGTTGCATCGGTGGGAAACTCCGAGGATACTGCTTGTTCCTCTTCTTTCTCCTTGCGCCAAAACATCCTCTATAGCAGCAACGGTCGAAATAGTGACAGTAAGAGTAGTTGATAGCAAATACGAGGGTAAAGAGGTAATTGTTACGCGCGGTAATAGTATTAATGGATTAAAGGGATACTATGTTAGGATCTGGCGAAGAGGGACTACTTGAAGCTGTCGCCAGATATCTCAGAGCTCGAAGAGGAGCTCGAAGAGCATAAGAGACAAGAGAGCGGAAGAGCAAATAAATAGGTAAGAGCATTGAGATACGATAAGAAAGATTAAATAAAATAAAAATACGTACATATACCCAACATAGCACCTGCAAGAACAAGAGCTCTTGCCGGGTTACGCATCCTTGGCTTGATTGGGACGAGATAGCGTACCTCCCCTTGTTAATAGCATTCGGCCTTCCCTATCTGTATAAGCCACTCCTGCATTTTTGTACATAACGACCTAACTCTTAAATCTAAATCACCCTTTCCACGGGATTCAGAGCCCTTCGGTGAGGCACGTACATACTATAGTGGGTTTGTGAGAGGTACATAAAACCACGCTTAACTTATTAAACAACCTAGGTAGCTATTAGCTGTCCGATTAAACGTCAACTAACACAGCTTTGATAAATATTCGCCTATACAAGCTGGGTGTAAGTCATCACTGGCCAATCATAAACCGAGGATCTACCCCGTGCCAAGTGCCCCTAGAGAGCTTGTCTTTTCCGGCCTAAAAGCGAGACCAAACTCTTCAAGCTTTCTGTCTTTTTATTTTTGGCTATCCGATGCCTTGGCTGCAGTGACATACCCGGGAATTATTCTTTAGTCGCGTGTCTTATAAAATATAAAATATAATTTTTTTTACCTTTTACTTTTACAGCTTCCCTTCCTTTTGGGGACTTCGGTGTGGTAGGACTCGGAAAGCAAACTTACGACTTGATATACACAGCTGTCTCTTCACTGCCCTATGAAGTCATCAAGCCTGATATGCAATTCCCAGCCTTTAGAGGCAGGGAGACACAAATATGCATCGATATATGAACCTCGCATGTTGTAGCGAGACAACCCTACAGAAAACGTCCAGATGATATCGGTCACGCCGACAATTCAAGACATACAGCAGCACTACTACGTCCTGTGTTATGATAGGAGGATTTACTCACTGTTAGCTGCTTAGCAGCTCCGTACCGGATACGTATATAAGATAAGCACCCGCGTCAGCAATGACAGGATGAAAAAGGTTCCAACCGAGTTACGTACATGCAGTATGTAAGTCTAGATGCATTGGCTGTACCAAAACCCGTTCATTCGGGACTCGATGTCATAAGTTGCATGTGATAAATATGTATGGTCGAGGTTTCGACCTAGACGATTGAAGATAACTTTTATAAATATAAATATCTAGTTAACATTTATTTTTTGTTTTCTCAGCCCATCTTCTATGTAGAGAAGATACACAGAAGATATATCATCAAGCATGATTATATACCTGTCATCACGAAGTGTTCCTCAGCTTATAGGCTCAGTTTAGCAGCTTACTTCTCTACAAAATAGCCTCGGATGTGAATATGTTTCGCAGCAAACCAATATTTTACCTAGCAAACATACAAGTCTTCAACCTCCAAAAATATTAATACTCTACCATAGCAGTAACTTTCAGCAGCACATGATAAACTCCAATTTCAACACATCAAACATCATGTTAGTTAATCTTTCTAAAAACTAGAGAAATACTTCCACCCAACTCGGATCAAAATTCCACCAGTTAACTCCCTACGTCACAAACTCCTTTCTTCCTAGCTCGATATCTATCATCTAGGTAGGTAGGAACCGAATTTGAAACTGTTATTTTTGTACACTGTGACTTCGTCCTCGTGCATCGAGTAGAAGACCTCGAGATTACCACATATTGCCCAGATTGCTGGCATCAAAATGTTCTCCTCCCCGCCAAGACACACTCCTGCTCTCCCAGTGATCGTAGACTCTCCTCCCCCTACGCCGTCTTCTTCCACTGCGCATAGACGCCAATCAAACTACTCACCGTACCCGCCAGACCAACAAACCCATCATCAAACCCGACCCAGCCCAGCGCCGCCGTCGGCGCCGTAAGATCGCACAAGTCCGAAATGAGCTGGATGCGGCTAGCATCGCGTTCGCTATTTCCCATTGATTAGTCTCGATCCATTCGTTTCTTCGAAAACAGGTTTAAAGCAACAACGGCATAAGAAAAAAACATTAAAAAAAAAGGCACTTACATAGCAATCCTCTTGCTCTCCACCACCCCCTCGCCCTCCTTCTTATCGACCCTAGCCTCGCGCTCCCGCAGCTTATACAGGGTATACGTCTGCGCAACAACGCTGCACAAGAGGCCAATAGCCCAGAACCGATACGCCTCCTTCTGGGCCCTCTTCGCGCCCGCCCACTTGCGCGCGCCCAGCGCGTCGAGCACCGTCGCCGCGTCGAACGTCAGATAGCCCGCGTAGCCCAGCTGTCGGCCCACCGCCGCGTACCGCAGGACCGGGTCTCCGGCCTGGGCCCCTCCGGCTTTTATCGCGTCGGCCGCTACGGCCGCGGCCCGGAAGTGCTCGACGTTCTTGCCGACGCGCAGCAGCTTGCGCGCTAGCCCCAGCTGCTTCTTGAGCGCCTCGTACGGCGCGATCTCCCCCCGCGTCCCGTTCGTGCGGTACAGGTACCACGCGTAGAAGCGTGCGAAGTATTGCACCGTGCGCAGGAGCTTGTCGCGGCCGGTGGTTGTCGCGACGAATTTTAGGTAGTGCGACACCGTGGGGTGGTAGATTACTGCGTCGGCGACCATTGTGGCTTTATTTTCTTTCTTTGTTGGTGTAGACTGTTAACACTATTGTGTAGGTATCTCGAGGGAGAGGGGTGAGGAGGGAGCGCTGGTTGGTGATGGGTTAAGCAATCAATCAATTGTATGCAGGATACCGGCGTGTAATGATGTAAGTAAGTTAGATTTGCGAGAATCGCTCGTTCTGCGCTATATTTTTGGGCTCGGCCGGTGTGATGGCAGTCGAAGTTTCCTTTACCTGTCTGTGTAGCCGGTATGTGCCGGTGTAGATAGAAAGGAAAGGATTCAAAGTTACGGCTTTTCGTAACTAATGAATATAGAAGTTCTAAATCTTACTTTGCGGACGTTAGTCACGAATTCAATGCGGATTTTGGAGAAATGGACGGGATAATACCTATTAACGACCTCTATTACAGCCGGCGGTATGGTAGTATGGGTAATAAGTGACGGAATAAAGCTGGGACATTGAGGGACATGAGGATATGTACCTAGGCAGTGGACCGAAGAAGCACATGCCGAGGTCCACTGAATCATACACTTTAGCTACGCCGGCAATTTCACCTTACGTTTTGCCGGACGTAAATACCCAGAAAACCTGATACCCCAGAGTTTAGTGTCCTTTTCCGTATTTAGATCATGTTTGCAATTGGAATCCCTTATTGGTTACGGTTGGATTTAAAACGGAGTAACTTCAATTACAGTAAAGTCAACTTTGCAGCATGTGCTTAACCTGTTAACTTATAATTTACTGTACATACATAAACTGGTAACGGAAACTTATGTCCAATAAACGGTGAACGACAACCTCATCTCAACTACCGTTTCATTGAACATCATCTATCGATAGCAGTTGGGTGTCTACTCCTTTTCCAAGACATTGGGTATGAACTGATTCTGAAGTTACGAACTACTCTTCAAAGTATTTTCTTTATACATCATCTACACAACATTATTTTCAAGCATATTAGTCTAGTAAATCTATTTCTTTTTATTAAGTAAATTCTTGTGACGATGTATCCGGTCAAGTCACCCTCGGTCTATATCGAAATATGCAATCCTGAAATTGATCTCACCCTTTTTAGTATACGAACTAGTATATAAACTAGGACCTTATAACACCCTATACCTATACCTATATATAGGTAGTTGTATAGTAACTTAGTATCTCCGCATCATCGTGATAAAGACTGACCACAATGCAAATCACAGACGGAAATTTTGGTGCAGGTCGGTACGGCATTTACGATCCTCAGTGAGGTAGGCTTGTGAGAAGGTTTTCTTACTTTCCCGACCTAGAAACTCCTCTCTATGAGATGCTACGGTGTCCGCGAGAACCTCCAACCATTACCATAAGCGCCCAGTCGCAATAGGCAGACGGTAGAAAAATAAAAAGTAAACCAGCTAATAAGTGCAGCCTACCTTTACTCGGAGCCATAGTCGGTGGCTTTAGTGCATTCCATATTAAACGAGAGACGATTAAAACTGAACTTAGAGGCTCAGGTCCAAAGAATTCCCCCAAACAGGAAATGCGTCAACTATATCGTCGTGGCCGCGAAGGATTCGTCTAATGGTAAAATGCGGCCCGTCATACCCGTCCTCGGTGTCCTGGCAGACTGTCTCCGCAGTAATAGCCCTACGCAGTCGGTACGACCCTCGACGATTGGAATATAAAACGTCGATCTTGTCGAACCCCGGGGCTGCTCAGTCATACTGAAACAAGACGCTGATGGATTCACCGTGGTGGATTCGACGGATGGCCTCGGCAAATATAGGTGCCACGTCTAGTACTTCGAGCTTAGGGCATAGCCTCTTGTGCTCGTCCTGAGGAACCGAATTGGTCACGATCGCCTTATCAATAGCTGAAGCATTTATGCGCGCGATGGCGTCACCACTGAATACGCCATGGGTGAGGAGCGCGTAGACTGCTGTAGCTCCCTCCTTGCGCACGAGCTTTGCGGCACGTGTAATAGTGTTGGCGGTATCGGCCAAATCATCAACCAGTATACAAACTCGGTTGGCAACATTTCCCACAAGCATCATCGTCGCATTTTGTCGGTCCGTGATCCGCGTTGGCCGTCGTTCCTAGTTACTGAGTGAGTTTGAAGACGCGTACCGAACACATTCACCTTACCTTATGGATGAGGGCAAAGTCCATGCCCAAGCTATCAGCGATGGCAGTGGCTCTTTTCGCGCCACCGGCATCCGGACTCACAATCACGGCTTCCTTATAGTCGGGAATATTCTGCTGGATATATCGCTTCAGCAGGGGTCGACCGTACAAATTGTCCATGGGAATGTCGAAAAAGCCCTGGTATTGAGGATCATGAAGATCCAGAGCAACAACGCTACGGTTCAAGTTAGCTGACATCCAAACAATAAAACTACCTAGTGGAAATAAAGTTACGGGGGTTTCAAGAGAGAAGACCCCAAGTAACAATAGCATATCCACTTTCGAGCTAAGGAGACACATACTGGTCCGCACCGGCACAGGTCAATAGATCTGCCACCAGAGTTCCAGCCTGCGCAACCCATCTCTTATATCCAGGCTTGGCCTGAAAGGTAGAGATAAGCGCGGGGTTCTCATAGTCGTGAGTAGTGTAGCTTCCTGTACGCGAATGCGTGAGGTAGTTCTGAGCCGAGGGAATGTCTCCATTCGTGCTCCCGTTACCGTTAAAATAGTTCTCACTATTAGTACGAGGTAGACCATTCGTGACGCCGTTAGAAAGAGAAGTTTTGTTCATAACCCTAGCAAGGTCGGTCTCCTTGCCAAAACTAGCGCTCTTGATGATTCCAGGTGCGGGCGTGGCTGGGACGCTCTCAAACGTATACTTGTCCTTGGGGACTTCAGTTGGAGGTTTCGACAGAGGTGCCCCAACCTTATTATAAGGCAGATCGGGTTGTCGCGAGTAGGGAAATAATGGAAGCACGGCTGTGACACGCTTTGCCGAGCCTGTTTTACAGGCAGATATCACTATTTTACCCTAGTTAGTTTTCGATATATGTGAGGACTCGGGGTTGAGCTATGGTGCGTACTGATGCAAAGCTCTATTAGGTGGTCATTCACGGAACCGCCTCCAGATTGGATGATGAAAACATCCTTGCCTCTCACAGAGTCCTGAATCTCGCAGCGGGTCTCGCCGACTGAAAATTTGCTCAATATACGATTCCCGGGGGGGATTCCAAGCATATTGCACACAGACTCTGAGAGGGCTGGGTGCGAGTTCCCGGAGAGGATGACAATGTTTCTAACCATCTTGGTGATCTAATACGGGAAGAAAAGGCGGTGTCGAAGAAAAAAGGTTGACTTTTGATAAAATATATATGGCTGGCTTATAGAGGAAGGTTCAACGGTGTTATAGGTCGCGTTATATGCAGAGTCTGTCGTACTTGAAGATGGGTTCAAGGTTTACTGCTGCAGAACGATCCTAATTTGGTCCGATTGCGGTGGTAGTCCTATGTATAGAGGCGGCACTGTGGTCAAACTTCAGAGCTTGATAGGAGATGAAGAGGTTACAGGAGGTCACAGGACCGAAGAAGGAAAGCGAGACAAGACCGGGTCTCAAGCTAAAAGGATGATGAACAAATTCGCAAAAGGAGATTCCTGAAACCCTAGAGAAGATCCATGGTGAAGATTGTAATAACGAGTTTTAGATGAAATTGTGCGCAATCGTACTTGTTGAAAGTCTGGTTACAGCTGCATAACAGGAGAAGAAAGATTGGAGGGATGATTTTCCTTGAATCCAATTGACCGCGGGGCTCACCACCTGCAACGAAAAAAAAAAAATTCTGCCGGGTTACGCAAACGGAGCTCAGTGATGTTAGTGGGCAATTGTGGGCACTTATTTCGGTGGCAATCACTGCGCAGTGCGAGCTAACGTCAGTACTACCTTATGTACCCATTTACGACTTACTGCAACCTACTGCAACCTACTGCTACGTGCTGCAACTCCACCTATAACCACTAAGGTTCAGGCTTGTCAGCCGCTGTCCCAGAAAACCCCCATGCTGTGTTTCATAGGTCCTATGTACAATGGGGCGTTACCGCTAATATTCTTTATTTAGGGAGTAGCCGTTATTGGCCGAACAACTTCCTAGATTTGCCGACTTCCTGCCAGAATGTACCATACTTACTTCCGTTCTACCTTGGTAGTCAGGTAGTCTGATAGTTCAGCCTAGTCTAATTCAAACAACCTTGCGAACTAACCCATCGTCATTGAAGCTAATATCGCAAAATGGAAGTACTTACCCGACATTTATAATTTAAGGTACTTACCATAGGTACATTCATAGGTATCAAATCCTTTAATATTAATATTCTCAAAAACGAGAATCCAATGAGACATTCCTTATTTGTAACTTTTAAATACCTCTTATTGTCACACTACCTGGTAATTCTTCATCTGATCTCACCGCCAAGAAGTCGAGGCCATCAGATCTAATTAAGTCAGATGGCCAGATTTGAAGCCACAGCGTCAATCACATGAGGCTGAGGCACATACCTTTTTGTTTACCTTGGGTACATTGAATCTATCTATCATTACCTATCTATTATTTATCATTTTAGGTATGCTGGAGACAAGTTTATAACATCTAATTTCGAGTTGATGATAACTAATGGATAATTACCTAATTAAGCTGTAATTTTTATAACTAATACTTACACAAATCTGCCTTCTTACATTATAGTCTTTGCCATGCCTGAGATTGCCGAAGGTAAGACTGGAAAGCTTATAAGCGTTACATTGTATACCTAACCCGGACGCGTATATTATATTAACAGTGTAAAGTCGCTCGCGTCGTCCATTTCCTCCGCATACATTTAACTGGTAAGACCATCAGCAAAGTAATAGCTCCAGACGATAGCAATGTATTTGGGAAAGTCGGGACGAGCGGCCCAGCATTTGAAACGGCCCTCACCGGGAAGAAAGTCGTAGAAGTCGGGAGTCAGGGGAAGTATTTTTGGATGGTACTGTCTAAACCGCCACATCCGGTTATGCATCTGGGTAAGTCAAAACAACCGCTTAATGTATCAGATTTCATATTGATGCTTAGGTGTTTAATAGGAATGTCTGGTTGGGTTCAGATCAGGGGCATACAAACAGGATATACACGTTACATCGAGAGGACAAAAAACGACAAAGAGCAATGGCCTCCCAAATACTGGAAGTTCCAGCTTGAGACAGACAGCGATCCCAAAGTAGAAGTCGCCTTCACCGACTTCCGCCGTTTCGGCCGCATCCGTCTCGTAGATTGTCCCGGAGCGGAAATCAGAAAGCATTCGCCTCTAGTTGAGAACGGGCCAGACCCCGTTCTCGACAAAGACGTGTTTACCGAGGACTTCTTGCGGCAGAAGATGAAGCGTAGACACGTCCCCATCAAAGCCCTGCTCCTGGACCAAGCCACGGTCAGCGGGATAGGCAATTGGGTCGGCGATGAAATCATGTACCAAGCCAAACTCCACCCGGAGCAGTACTGCGACGACTTCGACGACGCGGACATTAGCACACTATACAAGGCCATCAGGTACGTGTGCGAGACCGCGGTGGAGAAATTAGGAGACTCGGACGAGTTCCCGGAAGACTGGCTGTTTAAGCACCGCTGGGGCAAGGGGAAGAAAGACTCCGCTACTACTCTGCCTAACGGTGACAAGATTGTCCATATCACGGTTGGCGGACGGACAACCTGTGTTGTTCCTAGCGTGCAGAAGAAGAGGGGGCGCGCTGCTGTTGACGATGTCAAGGAGGAATCCATAGAGGCGGAAGTGGACGATGGGACGGAAAGTCGGTTCTTTAAGGGGAAGGGGAAGGGGAAGGGCAAGGGCAAGAAACAAGTAAAGAGTAAAGTAGAGGTAGAGGCGGAGGTGGAGGAACGTCCAAGTAAGAGGGTCAGGACTACGAAGACGAAGTCGGCTATACAGATTAAGAAAGAAGAAGACGAAGATGAAGACGAGAAGAAGGAGGAGGAGGGGGAAGAAAAGCTAGCCCCGAAGGCGTCTCGGAAGTCGAGCAAGCAGAAGAAGGAAGAAGCAAAACCAGTTAAACCCGAGCCTGAGCTTGGAAGAAGGCGATCGAGTAGGCTTAGCCGTGTAGTAGCCTAATCCACAATACAGGACGTTGATAATGTTTGTATTGCGTAGAATGACAATATAAGAGCATCTAATACAGAATAGACACTGCAGCCCCTCTATAGGCAGAGTACCTAATGTATGATTACAAACATCAACACACAGTGCGCGGCTTTCCTTGGAGATACAATTGAATACAACAGGTAAGTAATTATTCAATTAGAACTGAGTACGAATCCGTACCTAGGGAGATATGAACGAACTTCAATCTCAGTTACTGAATAGGTACTATTCGCATCGCTATTCCTACTACACCTAAACACACCCAACGACCACCTAACACAGTACATATAATAAACACACAGCCAAGCGTAACAGTAAGTAATTTTATTAATAATCATCATGCATCATGAGTATACCCTTGCAGCATAACGCCTCGCAATAGATAGATAGATATGCTAGACAGACACACCTCGGGGGGGTATCAATATCAGCAGTTATTCTTCCGCAGCAACATCAAATAAAGCCCATACTACTACTATTATTCCCTAGTAGTTAGTCCTGATTCACAGCTCGCTGTTAATTCCCCCCTCTGACAACTCCTTCTCGCGACGTCTTGCCGCATCTGTACAGCTTAACTTGAACCCTACTCAATGCTCATGCGCATGAGTCCGTCATTCGTATCCACCATCCCCTGGAACCCCACTCGTCCCTTCCCATTAATCATCCTTCCTCCCCCATTTCCATTTCCATTGCCGTTCCCGCCGACGCTCCCATTTTCGCTTGGCGTTCCCGTCCCTGACGTCTTGTCTCTCTCCCTCTCGGCGCCATGATTACTTCCCGGTCTAGACCCTGGCCCCCACGGTCCCCCGTCTCTCTGCAGCGGGCTCTGCGTCACTGGTGACCCGTGAACACTGTTCATGCCCGGGCTGACTGCTCTTCGCTTGAGACCATGCGTGTCAAAGTAGTCGTCGTCGCGCCTCCTCTTGTTGTTGATGCGCCGCGTGATCTCAGCTGCGGTTGGCGGTATGCCGCCTCCTTGCAGCATAGACGGTGGGAGAGACGACTGTTGTGGAGTATCCGATCTTTGGCCCTCGCTTCCGGATGCCGGGCCGGCATTTTGGCCTGAACCGAACAAGCCTGGACCCGCCGAGAGGGATGGCGAGTCCATATTTACGTCCTCGCTCATCCCGGATGATGACCCCCTAGGCATGAGGGATGAAGGCGGTGGCGTAACTCGCGTACCTGCGACGCTGCTTGTCTCGGAGAAGGTTTCCCAGAAGTTTTTACCTTTTGAGTTTTTCAAGGCTTGTTGCTTGAAGCTGCTCGATAAGCCCGAGTCGGTCATCATATCGTCTTCCGGTATGTCGTCGAGAGAATCTTGTGCAGTCCCTAGGTTTGGAGAGGATTGGGTGGTAGACATGTTGGGAATATCAAGAGCCGACAGCGGACCAGGTGGTACACGGGGCTCGAGGTCCATGTCGCTTTCGCGGACTTGACGAATAACTTCCGCCTCTCGACGAGTCTCCGAGTCCACCGGGGCGCTCTCCTCCATGAGGGCGGCACGAATCCGCGCGAATCCCTTCGTTTTTGGCTGAGGGTGTACTTAGCAGACATAATTTTAGTACGAGATAGATAGCAAGACTCACTAGTAGACTGCCCCGCCGTGTGACGGGTCGCTTAACAACGCCTCTCGTACCATCTCTAGATAGGGTATCGCTTGCGTCTATAGACTTGTCGTCGCTCTCGCTACCCGAGATATGTAGCTGGTTGGCAGCCCAGCTAATGCTTTCCCGTCGGTTATGAGAAATAGAAGCGTCCCTAAGATCCTTAACGACGTTATTAGGCGGCGACTTAGAGAAGGAGGGTGGAGCAGAAGGGCCGAAGCCTAGTCCAGCTAGACCGCGCAGTCTCTTCTTCGGATGCCTGCGCGGCCGTGCTCTGAAGCTCTGAAGACTATTGGCGGCTGGCGATGATCCTGGCATCCACGGAACGACGTTGTTACCGGAGCCGAATGGTAGATTCCTAAGCTGCTGGCTACCTTTAGAGACCTGCGGTGTGCTGAAGATAGCATCCTCCATTTCTTCATCCATGAGGTCGTCATCACCGGAACTGGACGATGAGTCGGAGGCCAAGGGGTTTGCGCTGCCGACGGAGCTAGAAATATTCATGCGCTCTTGATTACCCATCATGGACCACAAGGAAGTGGAGGGTTGTTCTTGGCCATAATGACCATTCCCGCGACCGGGAATATTCATGGCGCGTCCGCCGATAGTGGGCGATGAATCAGGAGAGGATTGTTCGGCGAGAGTGGAATGATGTAAGCTGGTGGCGGCTCTAGAAAAATCAAGGCCACGAGAGCGACGAGGTAGAATGTTGGTTGGTGAAGCATAGATCTGCGAATGATCAAGTTTAGGGGAAAGAGGGGCAAGTTTGACGTGGTTGGGTGTTTGAGCGGGCGAAACAGAATCGCACTGTGACATTTGTATCGACAATCCGCGCATAGGAAATTCTGGTCGTCTAGGTGTGACTGGAGTAGTAATAACAGTAGTAGCAATAACAGCTGACGACGATATTTCTTGGTTTCTATCCTTAACTAGAGAACTGTCTGTATCGTCTTTTGATGTGCGCCTTGATGCTTCGAGTATATGTGGAGATGGTGATAATTGTGTGCCTCCGCCATCAGATAAACTTCGTGGTTTCGACAGCGATGACCTTTCAATATTTCCAAATCCATTATTCCCTTGAGCGCTATAAGTCTCACTCTTCATATCTTCATCCATCACTGCTATCTCTTCATATCTATTTGTAGCCATTCGAACATTCGAACATTCGAACCTCATTAATCGATAAAAGTTGGTGTTCTCGATGTATCTTTTGGTATGCGGCAGTTAGCGCTTACAAAAAGTCCGTTCGTTAGTTTCTAGCGTCAAAGGATCGTAACTCTCGCACAGAGTATCGAACTAAGCTGTCTTTTGCGTCTTAAAAATGTCGACATGGGATAGTAGAGCATGGCTCATTCAAGATGTGTACCTATGATAGAATAATATGGGGGGAATTAAGAATGGAAGTGGAAATTGTGACGTCGCGTCATGTCACGGTAGACGCGGGCATCGAAGTTAAAGCTTATCGATAATAGAGTTGCACGAATCATTGCGACTGCCGAAATCTATCAACCGCCAATCAGCAGTTCCAATGCTAATATTTACTGTATAAAAAGTATGTTCTATAAATAGATGCTTGCGTTGCTGATTTCGATATCTTTGATCTATAAAGGCCTTAAAGAGACTAGTGACTATTGCTTATAAAGAAACGAAGGCCTACTATATAGAACTATTCCTAATTCATCTTACTAATTTGTTAGCTTATGTATTAACTAGGCCAAGTGTATACTAACTAGTTAGATATTTAGAGTAACTCTAACCACACAGTAAAATTCTCCTAAAAAAACAGCAAAATCAATTTCACGTGAGATAAGCCACTATAAGCCACCACAAGCCACCACAAACCACCATGCACGGCCATTTAAAAAATGGCTGGTTTACCCAACCCATGCTTATGCTCCATTTGCATTGTAACCAAATATATTTTTTATAATTTTTAATTTTTTTTTAAAAATTTAATAAAAATATAAATATTTAATAAAAATATAAATAAAAATGAAATAAAATATAAATAAAATAATAAAAAATAATACATAAAATATATAAATTTTTAAAATTATTATATAAATTTAATATATTTATATTTATATTTATATTATATAATAAAAATAAATAAAAATAAATAAAAATAAATAAAAATAAATAAAAATAAATAAAAATAAATAAAAATAAATAAAAATAAATAAAAATAAATAAAAATAAATAAAAATAAATAAAAATAAANTTATTTTATTTATTTTATTTATTTTATTTATTTTATTTATTTTATTTATTTTATTTATTTTATTTATTTTATTTATTTTATTTATTTTATTTATTTTATTTATTTTATTTATTTTATTTATTTTATTTATTTTATTTATTTTATTTATTTTATTTATTTTTTAAAAAATATTAATAAATTATAAAAAAATGTAAAAAAAATAAATAAAAATAATTATTTTATTAAATACTTTAATTTTATTTTATGATTAATTTTATACATTTTATTTTCATTTTATATTAAATTTTAAAATAAATATATTAAAAATTATTTTTTGTTTAAAACTGGAGGCCACCCCAAGGGGCGACACAATCCTTAAGTTTACAAATTAAGAAATTTTTTTTTAATATTATAAAAATTAAAAAAAATATTTTAAAAAATAAATTAAATAAATAATAAAATTATAAATTAATAAATTAATATTTTATTATTTATTATATTTAATTATATATTTTTTATAACATTAATAAATTTATAAATATTAATTTTAATATTATAAAAATATTTTATATAATAATAAATAAAATTAAAATAATGTAAAATTTAATATTTAAAATTTTTTTTATATAATATTTATTATTATTATTATTTTAATTTGTTTTATAAATATATTATTATATATATTTAAAAAAAAATTATTATATATTTATATTATTTATTTAATAATATTTTTATTTTTATTTTAATAATATATTTTGTTTAATATTTTGTTTAATTATATATATTTATTTAAATATAATAAATTAAAAATAAATTTTTTAAATAATATTTAAAAATAAAATTAATTAAAAGATTAATTAAAAATATTATTAAAAATAAAATATATATTTTTTTATTTTTATTA